GATATATATATATATATAAATATATACAAAGAGAAACTTAAACCTACATTAAGCTGTGCAAAGCAACTCTCACAAACCAAAGTAGTTTGATGAAAATGTTGATAAAATACTAACTAGTGCTATTCTTTTGGTTCACACGAAAGAGTAAATTACAAACACTGTCATATCAGATCATGTATGTAAGATACTGTAGGAATGACTTTAATGTAAAACATATTGAAAGTGAATATTATTAATGTAACCAAGATCTGCTACTTAATCTGGGCAATGATCCACATTTTTTTAATCTAAACAGTAATTTCAGATATGCGTCAGTTGTTCATATTGAATAATGTTGTGTTTATTGTAAAAACCTAATTTAGGCTATCAAGCCACTCAGATGACCGTTCTCCAAGATTTTTTCCTGTTTGATATTTCAATGAAACTAATTTCTTGAATAACCTATGAAAACAATGTTCATTTTCACTCATAATTTCTACAGATTTGTGTCCCGATGTCAAGAATAAATACTTTGATAAGTTCCCAGTATTCCACGTGTCCTTTTATAATGTTTATTTTTATTATAAACATATTTCCACAGATTAGATTCGCAATCTTTACTTTCTACTCATCGGGTGATTTTACCTCCGTAAAGAGAACTTTTGATTGAAAATTAAAGTACGAGTTGCAAATAATCCAACCTGTGCAGTTAGCAGGCAACAGTAAAATGAAGTTTCAGAAACCATAAAAATATTATGGAATTAAGTACCATATTAAAGTACCATATCTATATTAAAATATTTCAGATACTTGTTAGGCAGCCACTTCTTGGTTCCTCATTACATCAGGAGTGTCGCCATTTGTGTAGCCATTCTCAGTCGGCTTCTTTATAAATCCATCCTCATAGCTTCCTTTAGATTTGAAGAATTGCTTGAAGTGTGGGGTACAGTAGAACTTGTGGCTATTGATGGTGTAATTATCTAACCTGGGGATTCAAAACCATGCTTTACATACATTCTTGAAATAATAATCTAATATACACAGTTTGACTAGAAAAGAATAAGTATTCAATTTCCTTGAATATTTATTAGTGAAATAATCTTCTAAAGATGTACTCTTGCAGTTTCTTATAGTTGCAGGATATCTATACTTAAAGATACACTGCTCAAAGAGAGTGCAAAGTAGTAGGCAGATCTGTTAACATCACCACAATACATTCGCTTAAAAACATGTGTGTCACTAAAACCTTGTAACCAGCAAGTATAATTTACATTCAGAACAATTCACAGAATATACTTGATTCATTAATTAAATCTCCTGCCTTACAATCTAGTTAATTATTTTCTAAAACTCATTCTGAGCTAGTATCTTTAATCCAACAAGAATTAATCCTCATCACCTTCAACAAATCAAGCACGCAAGACAGCATTTATGGAAGAACATTCACATAACCAACAATTTTGAAGTACACTCTAAAATTCCTTAATTATTACTACAATTCTAGCAAATATATCAGGCTTTCAATACCTATTGAACAATTTTAATTATGTCTAAAATCAACTTCCTCGTAGTTTTACTCGGTATTGATGTAACCTATATTCTTAATGTTATAATTTATTTGTCTGCTAGAGGGAGCTGCTAATCATAATTACAATATTCTGAAGAAATTGTTGAAACAATAGTAAATCATAAGTATGTGTAATCAATTTATGAAACTTCAACAATTATTTCAGTTCAGTGTTAGCAAGATATTAATATATTAATAAGGAAATTCAGTAAATATATTTTCTAAGTTAGCAGTAGGTTAACACTAATCTCAGAATTTCTGTTGCAGTGGCATTTGTGAACTTAGGCCTACAAAGTAAAAATGAACATAACTTGTAGAAATATATTTTGTATAATAAAAAAACAACAACTGGATGCATCAAGAAGGTGTATACTTACCTAAGCATGCTGTTACAGTGACAACAACGGAAACAGTTTTTGTGAAACTTAAAACCACTGGCTTCCATCCTTTCCATTGGGTAGAGTTTCTTTGCACAGAGATCACATTCTTCACGTGACATTATTCCAAGCTCCTATTGGATAGATTTTTGTTTATTAATCTTATGCTATTCTGTACAATAACTGCTGCACATTTACTTTAATGTATCTTAGGAACAACTATTCTTGAGAACAGTCACCAAAATATATTTGTCTTGTCAGCTTGAAACATTCGAGAAATGATTTTTCATTAATTGCAAAGACCTTCATAACTTTGTTTCTAAACTGTTCCTCTCAATCAGTTATGTAAGCTAAAGCGAAACAAGAAATATTCACTTGTTTCCAAGTCATGAAAAATTGAGTTGAGTTTCAATATTCATGTAGCATTAACTTAGTTTTAATTATGGCTGGAGACGGCTTGAATGGGTAATGAAGAAAAACTTTAATATAACAGCAAATGTACAAGTTTCGACAAGAGTACCTGATGATGAC